TTTGCAAACATCTGACTGAGAAAATACAGAGTATTTTTTTTAGCTGAGGATCGAACCCAGGGCCTTGTGCTTGCTAGGCAAGCGCTCTACCACTGAGCTAAATCCCCAACCCTCTCGGTGTCTTAAGTAGGTTTCCGGTGCTGTGATAGACACCATGACCAAAAGCAACTTGGAGGAGAAAAGGGTTTATTTCATCTATAGCTTATCATCCATCACTGAGGGAAGTCGGGGCAGGAATGTAAGGCAGGAACCTGAAGGCAAGAATTGTAGGCGGACTTTTCTTTCCTGTCTGCCAGTTCCCAAATAACCAACACGGAGACTTAAAATTATTCATAAATGCTTGGCCAATAGCTCAGGCTTATCACTAACTAGCTCCTACAACTTCAATTAACCCACTTCTATTAGGCCATGAAGAGTGCTGCTCACTGGTATGTTCCTCAGGCTTCCATTCAACTACCTTTCTTATACCTCCTGGGATCACCTGCCTAGGGGTGGTACTACCCCAGTGGCTGGGCCCTCCCCCATTAATTATTAATTAAGAAAATGTCCCCACAGACTTGCCTACAGGCCAATCTGATGGAGGCATTTTCTCAGTTGATGTTCCCTCTTCCCAGATGACCCTGGCATGTGTCAAGTTGACAAAAAACAAACGAACAAACAGACAAAAAATAAATAAACTAGCTAAGCAGTTCACTCATGCTCCATGAGAACACTGAGACTCCACTAGATTCCAGGGCCCATGGCTTATAAGACATTCAGAGCACTAGAATTCATGCTTCCCTGCATCTTCTTACTACCCTGGGGTGCTCCAAGGATCATGTTACAGTTTACACTGTGGACTTTGAGTACTAGGCATAACATTGTAAGTGTTCAACAAATATTTATTGAATTACAAAAAAAAAAAAGAACAAATTTTTTTTTCTCATGGGAATTCAATGACTTTCCCCTAAAACTTGGCTATTTTCAAAAACATGGTCCTCTGTGTGTGTATGTGCCCATGTGCACACGCGCATGTACATGCATATGTGAGTGTGTGTGTGCGCACGCGCGCGTGCGCGCGCGCGCACGCGCGCATGTGCACATGAACATGCATATGCTTGTGTTCTTTTCCGAGCTAACAATGTCTAAAGAGTCCATGACCCAGAAGAGGCTCTCAGTCACTTGTGAAGAAAGGCAAAGTTAGGTTATTTGACATCTGCTCCTCATCTTCCACTGTTTCGTTTTTATTTTGTGCAAGACCCTTCCTATTCCTTCCCCATTGGCATCTGCCCACAGAATTAGAAGATGGCGGGACTGGGCTATAATATCTTTAGTCTCCATCTTGGCCATTGTATGTCGGATATTCATTCTCTCTCTCTCTCTCTCCCTCCCTCTCTCATTTAGATCACAGAACCCACTGGCCAAGCTCCATGGGTCCTCCATCTTGGAAAGGCATCATTTGGAGTTTGGCAAAACATTGCTGAGAGAAGAGGTAGGATGACCCTGGTCTCCCAGGAAGCCTGCATGAGCACAGGCGTCCTTTGGCCCTTGGCCAAGGCTGTCATTGTCTGTCATCATTTAGGATGGCCACCAGAAGAAGAGTGACTTTACTACCAGAGCCATTTCTCAAAACATGTCTAATTCTTTTCTTTAGAGCTTGAATATCTTTCAGAACCTGAATCGCCGGCAACATGAACACGCAATCCACATGATGGACATTGCAATCATTGCCACAGACCTGGCCTTGTATTTCAAGTAGGTTTTTCTCCTCACTTCAATGTTAGCAATGATTATAGCAGCAAATGCCACAGTTCCTACCGATCTTTGTTCTGTGTCAGGTCTAACACGTCATCCCTGTAAGGTAGATGCTCTTACACCCAACCTCCAGGGTGTAACAGATTTGCTAAAATCACATAGTACAAGGACATCTAACCTAGAATGAAGTCTTTATTCCAAGCTTTTTCCATATTGTTTTGTTAACTATGTGGATTTAATAACTTCCCGATCTGGAACAGCCCATGTTAGCAGCCCAGCTGTCACCTCATTCTTAGACTTGATCTCTTTAATAAACTGGTGTGTGTTTCAGGAAAAGGACAATGTTCCAGAAGATTGTGGACCAGTCAAAGACATATGAGAGTACTCAGGAGTGGACCCAGTACATGATGCTGGAGCAGACGCGGAAGGAAATTGTTATGTGAGTCAAGGCGGGGTTAACCCTCTGCAGCCAGAGGGTGGGGGCTCCACCCACAGCTCTCGCTGCTCTCAACAGAGCCCTGGGACACTTGCCACCTTAGAGGCCTCTCACATTGAAAAGCATGAAGCTGTGTCCAAATGGAATGGCACAAGTCAAGATATATATTTCACTTTTATTTAGCACTGAAAACACAAGAGAAAATACTGTTTTTATTTTATATATCTGCATACAAAAAAGCATAATATTTGAAGTATTTCAGTTATAAACTCTAAGACTTGAATAGCAAAGTGATACAGAGTTTAAGTTTTGAACAAAACATGTACTAATGATAGAGTTTAAGCACAAGGGGACCTGAGTATGATTCCCAGAAATCACATTAAAAAAAAAAAGCCAGACATGACAGAGCTCCAGGCACTGGGGACATGGAGAGCCTAGCCTTGAGCTCAAGGCCATTGAGAGACCCAATCTCAAAAAACAAGGTAGATGGCTCCTGAAAACAATAGATACATACAGATGCATACATACACATACACATGAACATACATGAACACACACACTTTTTAGCATCTGTAATCCCAGCACTTCTATGGTAGATGGGAGGCAAAGACAGGAAAATCATTCAGAAGTTCATAGACCAGTTAGCCTGGAGTGCGCAGCCACCAAGAGTCACCTTGCTGAAGGCGAGAAGTGACTCCTGAAAGGTGTCCTCTCACTGCCACACCAGTGCTGGGGCATACATGTGTCCCCACTCATGCCCCTGCACAGAGCATCCAGAAAATTCTGAAACAGAGGATAATAGGGCAGTTCAGTCTTCAAGTAGGTGCTGAAGGTCTACCTGCTCTAAAGGGGGATTTTCTATCAGTAGAGAAGGACGTACACTCACACACAGCCTTGGGACCACAGAGTGTCTCACTCTACATCAAAGTAAATTCCAGATGAACCAAGAATTTTTAAATAATGGGGGGGCATGATGGGAAAGGAATAATTTCAGAATAAATTTTTCTAAGAGCAACCTGACATTCATAAGCTGTAAAAGATGATTGGATACAATTGACTATTTGAAAATTAAGAATCTCTGCACAACACACACACACACACACACACACACACACACACACACACACACGAGAGAGAGAGAGAGAGAGAGAGAGAGAGAGAGAGAGAGTCCTTCTAACAGACAAGCAGCCAATCTCCTCAGCAGATGTCGATACAATTCGAGAAAAGGGCCAAGTCAACAGAAAAAAGACAAAAGGCACACACAGACACTTGCCAGAGAAGGAATTACAGAATGTCTGTAAAGGAAGATGGTGGACCGCACACCACATACTGAGAGAAGCAGGAAACAGAACTCAGATGAGAGGCACCCCTCTTCTTGGCAAAGATGAAAAGATTTAGATCACTGTGTTGGCCAGAGGGAGGGGAGCGGGCACTCTCGCCCACCAGGGTGGGAGGGCGAATAATAGGTATAGTTTTTACAGAGGACAGTGGGCTGGGGTACTACTGTCTGCGAAGCTGTGACCCCAAACTTAGCTGTCTTCTGAAAGCAGTTTTCCAGTTGAAATAAAACTGGGGTTGGAGAGGGGAATGCTGGGCAGGGAGGAACAGGCGAGGTCTATTCCAGTCCCGCAATAAATCAGGGCATCTTTCCTACCGTCTCAGTGAAACTGTGGGGCTTCAGTTTGGTTTTGTTTGTTTGTGTATGTGTGTGTGTGTGTGTGTGTGTGTGTGTGTGTGTGTGTGTGTGTGTGTGCATGGCTTTGTTTCTCACGGCGCTGATCTCTTTAACAACCGCCATCTTCCTTGTCCACAAATTTCACTTCATTCTTTTCTGGCCAGATGGCACATTTTCAAACCCTTCTACGCTCCTTTTTTGTTTCCTGTTCAAAAGCATCCAGCAGTATCTCTGCCCTCTTGACATTTCCTCCATCCAATCAATTAGACCATTACTCTTAAATCCAGCCTCAATCTCTGAATACAAAGTATCTGTCAGACAGCATGCAGATGACTTACAATCCACTTCCTAACAGAGCCCTCACTTCTGCCAGAAACCTTGTGAACACTGTCTATACTGTCTCTGTTTTATCAGCATTGCGGTCTTTTGAGCGCTCATCAGAATTAGGCACTGTACTTTGACAACCAAATCCTAGGCTTACTAACTTGCTTCCCCAAACCCAAAGGTCCCTCACAGACCAGTTCCAAAGGCTTAAGAATGACATTTTTCAGGTAGTCACAATGCCCTCACCCCTGGTACTGCCCCTAGTTTCTCTTGTGTGGCTTTGACCAAGCCAGCCGAGAGAACAACCTAAAGGCAAGAAGAGTCAGGCTGTAATCCCAGACTTGGGAGATGGGGATGGGATTACAGCAAGTTCAAGGCCAGTCTGAGCTACGTAATGAATTTGAAGTAAACCCGGGCTAGAGAGCAAGATCTTGCCTCAAAACCACCAAAAAGGGAAGGCACTGTTCTGCACGTGGTCTCTTGCTCAGCCCCAGGCACTTGGGCAGAACACTATGGTGGTGGGAAGGTATGGTAGAGAGGCTTCTTCACATCTTAGAAGACAGGAAACAGGAAGAGGGAAGGACTCTGAGACAGCCACAGCCCCCAAGGACACACACAATGACCTTCTTCCTCCAGCTAGGTCCCACCTCCTAATGTTTCCAGAATCTCCCAAAATAGGACCATCAGCTTGGGACTAAGCAGTCAGCATCTGAGCTTGTGAGGGACACTTCATATCCAAACCCTAACGTTGTCAACATTGCAAACACCACTGCTCTGACCCAGAAGCCCCACCTCTAAGATTTCACCACCACACATGCTCCCGCAGTGCACCAAAGGGTGTATGAAAGTCTTTGTCACGTGATTTCTAGTCACAGAGAAGACTAGAAACAACTTATGCTCCCCCCAATTAGAACCAAGGCTAAAAAGTTACAATGCTGTTACACATCGCACTATCAATTAGACTTTGCAAAGAAATATCATATCAAAGATATAAACAAACAAACATGGACAGGACTTTGGTTATTGTAAAAACCGAAGCAGTTTCCAGACTGAGCACTCTTATCCTCCAGGGAACCCAAAGCCTTCCAAGGCACGTCTGGGTGTGGTAATCAGTGCTCTCTTTCATAATACTAATCTTCCTGAAAAAAAAAAAAAAAGGCTTAATAGGCAAGGCATTCCCACCCTTCTCTCAGTTTACAAACTAAAGCCACATTCTTCCCTTTCTTCATCTGCCTAGAGGACTTTGGCCCAGGTGCAAGATCCTCCAGACATAAAACAACAGGAACTATCTGAATACCAACATGTTAGAAGCGCTGGTGTCTTCAAAGCCCCTTCTGATAGACATGTTACAAGTCTGAGGAAGGGCCTCAGGCCTCCCCTGTCTTATATGTTCTGACAAAAAAAATACATTCCTCTATATTCTCACGAGGACACTTTTGACATAGGATGTGCGGGTTTCTTTCTCTGTGGTCCCTAGAAGGGCATCCTACAATCCATTCACTGCTGAACTATTCTCTGCCCATTATAACTATTATCTGAACTATTAAGAGTCAAATCCAACAAGTTAAGGGCTCTTGTTATGAAATATGCGCTCTCTCTCTCTCTCTCTCTCTCTCTCTCTCTCTCTCTCTCTCTCTCTCTCTCTCTCGGCACATGCTGAGGCAAGTCTCCAGAGTCTCTCTCACCCCAGCCTTCAATTCTTATGTAGGTGCTGCACACCGATCAATTGCGCCACTGGAACCTTCTCCTGCCTTCCATTCTGACGCAAATCACATGTCCAGGCTTCTCCTATTTCAAACAAATGTATGAGTCATCCTCATAACTTCCCTCTCAATTTCTTTGATTTTCCATAGTGGCTTATAAAACTGCAGGAAACATCTCACATTTACCGGTTAGTGTTGGAGGATGGAATGGCTGTAGATAAGTAACCGGACGGAGGGTACCTAGGAGCAGTCTGGAGACAAACCCTCTCTCAGCATACAGGTGTCCACTACCTTGGAGGCTCATCCCAGAACTGCTCAAAAGATTTTTTGATTGTTGTTTGTGTTTGTTATTGCTTTTTTTTTTCTTCCCCTGAGACAGAGTCTCACTATGTAGCCCTGGCTAGCCTGGAACTCGCTTCTCAAACTAACCTGGCCATGCTAGAACTCACAGAATCTACCTGCCTCTGCCTCCAGAGAACTGAGATTAAAGGCATGTGGCACCGTCCCTGGCTCAAAAGGTTTACCCTATAGTTCAATCTCTAGCCAATCTTCTCCTCTCAGAAGTCAGTGAACAGGGCTAAAATATCCAATCCTGAAATCAGTCGGTCCTCTTGGTAATTGGTTCCAATCCAAGGCTATCTAGGGGGTCCCACCCTAAGCCACCTCATTGGCATAATATAAGGTCAATCCTAACGAGCTCACTGCAAACAAGACACTCCCACTACTCAGAGGATTTAAAGGCTTTAGGAGAGCTGTGTGCAAGGACCTGGGGACAAAGGCCACATATATTTCCTATTATGCCCCATTATAAGCAATATTTTAAAAGCGAAACAAGGCATTAGAAGGGGGGGTTTGTTCTTGGTCATTTAGCACATAGGTTAGCACATAGGTATGTCCCATTTAACAACCATGACTTCTTCAGAGAATGTGTCACTATCTAGGGACCATGTTATTAGAGCAAAGGCATCCTTAGAAAGTACTGAAGTGACAGATTCTGCTACTTTGTTTGTTTGTTTGTTTGTTTATGTGGTTGTTTGTTTGCTTGTTTGTTTTGAGACAGGGTTTCTCTATGTAGTCTTGACTATCCTGGAACTTGTTCTGTAGACCATGCTGGCCTTGAACTCATAGAGATCCACCTGCCTCTGCCTCCTGAGTGCTGGGATTAAAGGTGTGTGCCACCATTGCCCAGCCCTGGCGTATATATATATTTTTTTTATTACTGAAAGGATCAAATCTCATGATGTTAGGTGTAAGGACTCTCCTGAGTTACACTATGGCCTAGTTCCTTGCTTGTCTGTCTC